CGTATGGATATTATCCTATCACTGACAGCATTGTACTTCAGGACAGATCTTGAAACATCCTTTGTGATGATGAATGCCATGCCATTCCTCTTCAAACTGTCATTCCCGGCATAGGACATCACATGGTTGTCTGATTCAAAATGGCCAAAACCAGTCCATTTCAGTTCACTAATGCTGAGGATATCAATCTTTATGCGTTCTATTTCATTTCTGACAACTTCCAATTTTCCTAGATTCATACTTCTTACATTCCATGTTCCAATGATTAATGGATGTCTGGAGCTGTTTCTCTTTAATTTGAGTGGTGTCATATCAGCAAATGGAGGTCTCGAAAGCTTTACCTTATCCATAGGAGTAAGGCTGAGTTTACTCAGATGATGCAGCTCTTTCCCAGTCCTATTCTGAGAGCCTTCTAACCTAACGGGACTATTCATAAAGTTGTGTGGTAATGTATCAAACAGTGTTTCTTTACTATTCATACATCACCACGGAGGACAAACTGACAGACAAGTTTATCTCCCTTGGTATAGTAGGATTTAAAATGGCCAAATCCAGTCCATGTCAGTTTAGGATAGTAATCTTTATGTATTTCATTTCATTTTTGAGAAGTTCTGATTTTCCTAAATTCATACTTCGTACATTCCATGTTATGATTATTAATGGATATTTACAGCTGTTTCTTCCCATTTGGAGTCATGCCCCATCAGCAAATGAAAAAACCAAAAACTAAACCCACTGCCATGAAGTTGGATCCAACTCATAGTGACCCCTCCTTGAGTTTCTGAGGCAGTATCACTACAGAAGTAGATTGTCCAACCTTTCTTCTGAAGAGTGGCTGGTGAACCACCAGCCTTCTGCCTTCTGGTTAGCAGTCACTTAGAGGTCTCAAAAGCTTTACTCTATCCACGTCATTAAAGTCAGCTCTACTCTGAAGAGGCAGCTCTCCCTAGTTGTATTTTGAATACTTTGTGACCTGAGGGCCTCATTTTCTAGCACTATATCAGACAGTGTTTCAGGGCAGTTCATAGTTTTCTAATAATATATCAGACAGTGTTTCACTGTTATTCATAATGTTTTCACTGACTAAGCCTTTGAGAAGTAAATGGCTCCTTCCTTCTTCTGAGTCTGTGTTAGTCTGGAAGCTCTGCTGAAATATGTCCACTATGGATGACCCTGCTGGTATTTGAAATACCAGTGGCAAAACCTTCAGCCTCACAGCAACACTCAAGCCACCACAGTATGACAAACTGACAGACAAGTGGTGTTACACTATTAGTTACAAAGACAGTTTACCATGTGATAGAAAACATAGGAACTCCAAACTGAGATCTTCATTATCAAGAAAGAATAACTATTAATGATACATGTCCATGCTATTTGAAATAGTGACCAATAGTTTTGAAACTCCTAATTTTATAGATAAGGCACAGACAGATTTGCCCAACTTGATTCTAATGACTAGCTATAACTAATTTTAACTTAAGAATATTGCAGCTGATCCTGTAGCTTAGATTCAAGACATATTTCAGGTAAAGAAATGTGCATTTCTTTATCTACTCTGATATTTTGGTTGAACATAAAACATTGTCTTTTCAGCTGTCTCTTTGATAATTATAGGACAATGATTTAGGAATATTCCTAAATATTTTGTATTACACCTAACTATAGACATACTCATTGTTACGGTGGATAGAATATTGGGTTAGTGCTCCCATTTTGTGTCCAAGTTAAAGAAGCTTGGGAACTTGCACAATATACAAATGAATTGAAACAGCTGGTATAGACATTTGGCATTGGAGAGCAACTCTAGAACAAAGCTTAATTGTAGTCCAATATTCAGTGTGTGGCTTGTTACTTACAGACAGAATGGAGCCTGACATAGTTAACCATCTCCTCAAAACTGGTGTTTAAAGACCACTGATAGTGGAAGAAGCAAATACAGTTTGTTTTCATCCAAATCAAGTCTTAAGTTGTCCTATGAGCCCTTTCACAGAAACAGAGCTAAGTCTGTTCAAGCCAGTGTACTGATAATTCAAGACTTTTCTATTTTCTTTGAATATGATTTATTCTTAGAAAAATGTCTAGCAGAATCTTGTGAAGACAGTCGCCTCTAGTGTAAGATACATGAACTCTTAAGTTACCTAGTCATTGTGTCTGTTTAGACATGCCAATCCTGTGTAGGAGAGTCTTCCTAGTTTTTGCCAAGCCAGCAGATCCTTAGCTAGTTTTCTTCAACATTCACTAACCAGATTGGAAGAAGACTACATATATGTGCATTTGGGGAGAAGGACACTTTTGGTTTTCTTTTTTTCTCCTTGAAAATTTGTCAGGAGAGAACCTGCAGTTCTGTCTCAACACACTATGGAACACTGGGGACCAGAAGTTTTAGACAGTACAGGTCTTGTATATTTGAGGCCCGTGATGAATCCAACCATTCTTATATTCTAAAATATGTGAAATAGGATCTACATACCCTAGTCTAGTTTGCCAGTCTGTGATTCATCTCATCAGTTACTAGCAACCTTAACAGGGAAGATTAAATATTGTTTACCTATCACTTTATTTAAAATTGGGAGGAGGGGCCCATTTTATTTGCATATGGTGGCATAATTCCCTTTTAGAATCCCACAGTATTTTTAAACTAGTTTCCTCTTCCTTTAGTCCTGCTTAGTATCAGGTAAGAAGTCATAATAAAATAACAATGACGTACATGTTCTGTAGCAGATGAAAGACTAATTTTATCTGTCATTTTTGCTACTGAAGTAATATGAAGTATCTCTCTAAAGTGTTAAATGTTGTATATGTGGTTTGGGGTACTAAACTGTTTATAGTCATACCATGAACCTACTTAATATATAAAAAGACAGAGTATGTGCAAGATAGCAACAGTAGACAGATAAAATTAGTCTTTTAAAAAACCACGAACTGTTTAAAGCAAGATTAAGTCAAGAAAGTAGTTGCCGTGGTGGGTAGTAACTAGAAAAGAGCACAAAGGGAGGGTTGTGGGGTACTGTTCAGTTTCATGATCTGATTGCTGATTACATGAACATTTATTAGGCAATACTTAGGATTGTGTCCTTTTCTATATGTATACTTTAAGAAAGTTTTGTTTTTTAAAGTAAACTATTTTAAATGTATTGAACAGAATAAAAAAAAGACTTTTTTATTTGACTTCCTAACTTCATAATATAGGACTTCATAATGGAGGCAATGTAGGAAAGTACACTGTACCTTCCTTGGTCAATGCCTTTGGGTCTTTGGCTACATGCCACCCAAAACAAAAATAGAAGAGGCCCTCCATAAAAGTATCCTTTAAGATCTGTGAGATTTGAATAGTGCTTTTATTTTCCATGTAGGACAGCACAATTATCTCTGTGCTGGAAGAAATGACTGTATCATCGATAAAATTCGAAGAAAAAACTGCCCAGCATGCCGCTATAGAAAATGTCTTCAAGCTGGAATGAACCTAGAAGGTAATATAAATTCCTAAAGGAATTGTTTGTGTCTGCATCATAGAAAAATGTTTCATTTTACTTCTTAAGATATATGCAAACAGATGAGATAATTTAGTCATTGCAATATATTTATGTGTGTGTTTGACTAGCATAATGTTTGTTTGTATTACTGCCCAACAAAAGTAGGAATTTTTTTATCGTGAATGTCATATTCTGTTTCCTGTATTTTTAATATGCATTCTACGTTTGTTTGCCAACCACAACCTACCCCCTTTGAGGTATTTTCACATTTTTGTGAAACATGTATTTTGAGGTATTTTTTAACATGTTATTAAAAAAATATGTGTGTGTGTGTATAGCATAGTGCAATGGAGAGGTATAATTGGCAGACAAATAGAACATGCTCATTATTTGTATAAAAATAATAACGAAACCTATGTAACTTGAAGTAATACTGCTTTTATCTTACTTTATTAACTTTTCACCTTCAAAACTATTTTCTGGTTGGAAATTTTTCTGTGTTAAATATATTTTTTATTTAGATAGACACACATACACACATTTAATTGCATATCTATCTGCTCACTCACTCACTGCCATCGAGTCGAATCCAACTCATAGTGAACGCCTCTTTGTGTTTCCGAGGCAGTATCACTATGGAAGTAGCTTACCCAGCCTTCCTTGTGAGGAATGGCTGGTGGGTTTGAACCACAAGCCTTCTAGTTAGCAGTCAAATGCTTTAGGCACTATGCCACCACCAGAGATCTATAAGGAAAATAAAACTCCTCAAAGAAGTACTGGATAGGTTTTCTTTGTTCTATTTTTCAAGTAAAGAAGAAACTTGAAACTAGTTGTAAGTTTGAGTTTCATATCCCTGTTTAACATAACAAGTTATATAATTGACATTGATCTCATCATAAAAACTTCCTTCCAAAAAATGTTTGTAATGTGTTGTAGTTAAAATTGTAAATACCATAAAGATGATGGTAGTGATCTAGTAGCCCTTGTGCTGAGAAGTTGCTGGTTATATTAGCAATTTCATTCAGCGAGTATTCATTGATGGCATAGATACTAGACACAAAGTAGAATAAAACAGTTCCTGTTGCCAAGGAGTTCACTGTCTAGTCAAATGGTATAGTCAGTCACAAAATGGAATGGAGCACCACAACTAAAATAGAGCCCATGAGAGTAATAGGACCTAGCTGTGTCTTGGATTTCAGGGAAGGCTTCCTAGAAGAAATAACATTAAACTTTGAATCTAGAAGCTGAGTAAAGATTGTTGTTTGTTAACATTGAGTCACTGCCCACTCATGGCAACCCCATGTGTGTAGAGTAGAACTGCTCCATAGGGTTTTCAAGGCTGTGAACTTTCAAAAGCCTGACTTCCAAGGTGTCTTTCAGTGGGTTTGAACTGCCAATCTAAGTTCAGTGTTTAATCATTTATACCACCAGAGGGCTCCTGAGTAGGAATTAGGCAAAAAATAAGGGCAGAAACAGGATCAGATTGCTATTTTAGACCAATTAAATGGCTACAGCAGTAATCTAGATAAGAAATGGTGATGTCAAAGAAAGAATGGTAACCGTGTGGTTCTTGAGGCAGAAGAGAGACCAACTGTTAGTGGTATCTAGTACATACTATGTGTATGTGTTTTGAAATATAAAATGGGTTTATTGATGTTGACTATAAAGAGTCTAGTTCCCCAAACCACACATACAGTTTTACTCCTTAGACAATTCTTATTACTTAGATAGCAAAAATGACAGGTCAAATTAGTCTTTCTTCCCCATGTTTACAGACTATTATGACATAACCACTTCAACCATCTTTTTCCTATATATGCTTACACTTGAGTGCAGAGTGCTGACGTGTTAAAGATTGATTTAAATAAAACGATAGCTTCCCGCCTTCTTGTAGATGTTGCAAAAGCTACAGAGATTAAGAGATTAATTACAAATTCATGTAATGTAAAGTGCACTTTTGGTGCACAAAAATAGATTATTTTGGTTGTAAAATCAAAATAGTTATTCCTGACTTCCTTACTAATGAGATCTCTGCTAAGATTTTACCATTTGATTTTGCTGTTCTCTAATTGCCTAAGTGTATAATGTACTTTGATCACTTAAGTATATATTAAGGCATTTCAGTTTTTAGTAATTGGATTAATTTCTTTTCTCCAGCCCCAGTTTTACTACTTTCCTAATACCCAAATTTTCATCTCAGCTATTTTATATTTAGAAATGTATTTACTTAAAAGGAAAACATAAATAAAATTCTGTCATCACTAATACAGTATGATTGCTTGTCATTCGGTGCTTTCTAATATATATCAAGCTTAACTTAGATCTTTGAAGATTTAAATGGGTAGTAATTCTCTGAATAATTCTTCTCCCATCCAAAATACAAGGGAATTCTTTATTCAAAAGAAATAAGGCATATCAACTGCATAGTATGATTCTGATGGACTGAGTTACTACGTGTATCTGCCATTTCTCCTCCCACTTACATATAATTAACAACTGTCGTGCCTGTTCTTACCTCACAAGAAGAGGAGACGAAAAGCAGGTAGTGAAACCAATGCCATTTCCAACCCTTTTGTTGAAAATCTGTTCAAATTTATTTCTGATTTTTTAATTAACATAATTTAAACATGAAAGCTAATCTAACCTGTGATTTCTTAAAATACTATTTAAAAAATAACCACATTGTGTACTTTATAAATAATCAGTTTGTCAGAATGTTGTTGTTGTTGTTGTTAATGTGCCATCAAGTCGGCCCCAAACTCATAGCTACCCCTCCATGGGTTTCCGAGGCAGTATCACTACAGAAGTAGATTGCCCAGTTTTCCTTCTGAGGAGTGGCTGGTGGGTTTGAGCAGTCGAATGCCTTAGGCACTACGCTACCAGACCTCCCAGTTTATCAGAATAGTGGGGAAAATAGAATTTACCGAGAGCTATGACTAGGAGCTCTGGTAGCGTAGTGCCTAAGGCACTTGACTGCTAACCAGAAGGCTAGCGGTTCAAACCCACCAGCCACTCCTCGGAAGGAAGATGGGGCAATCTACTTCCCGTAGTGCTACTGTCTCAGAAACCCAAGGAGGGGTCGCTATGAGTCAGGTCCAACTCAACGGCACTTAACAACAAAAACAACAACATGACAGGATGGTCTTTGATGTACATTCTTGTACCCAAAGAGATTATTTTGGACCCTCATATTATTAAAAACACTTGAAGCAGATGCAAAATTAACCTTAAATTCACCTTTATAATACATAATAGGAACAGGGCTGGGAAGAAACCAAGGTCGCACAGTGGATTTGGAGTGGCTTCACCGGAGCCAAGAAGGAAGCAAGGTGGCACGGCGGGTTTGGAGCAGCCTGAGGGAGGCCCGGAAGGAAGTGAGTGGAGTGGTTTGGAACAGCAAGGGAGACGAACTTATCTCTTAGTTTGTTGTACTGTGGTGGTTGCTAAGACCGGCTTAGAATAAGGAAGAAGTCATCCATTTCTCAAAGAATTGGCCAGAGAAAGCCTTATGAACAGCAGTGAAACACTGTCTGATATATTGCTGGAAAGCTTTATAAATAGCCCTGAAACATCATCTGATGTATGCCAGAAAATGAACCCCTCAGGTCGGAAGGTACTCAAAGTATGAATGGGGAAGAGCTGCCTCCTCAGAGTTGAACCAACCTTCATGATGTGGATAGAGTAAAGCTTTCAAGACCTCCATTTGTTGATGTGGCGTGACTCAAGATGAGAAGAAACAGCTGCAAACATCCATTGAAAATTAGAACATAGAATGTACAAAGTATGAATCTAGGAAAATTAGAAGTTGTCAAAAATGAAATGGAATGCATAAAGATCGATATTCTAGGCATTAGTGAGCTGAAATGGACTGGTTTTGACAATTTCAAATCAGACAACCATAATGATCTGCTATGCCAGGAATTACAAATTGAAGAGGAATGGCGTGGCATTCATCATCACAAAGAATGTATCAAGATCTATCCTGAAGTACAGTGCTGTCAGTGATAGGATAATATCCATATGCCTACAAGGAAGACCAGTTAATATTACTGTTATTCAAATTTAAACACCAACCACCAAAGCCAAAGATGAGGAAATTGAAGATTTTTAACAATTTCTGCAGTGTGAAATTGACCTAACATGCAACCATAGATGTGTTGATTATCACTGGTGATTGGAATGCAAAAGTTGGAAACAAACAAACAAACAAAATCACCAGTAGTTGAAATACATGGCCTTGGTGATAGAAATGCCACTGGAGATCACATGATAGAATTTTGCAAGACCAATGACTTACTCATTGAAAATACCTTTTTTCAATAACACAAATAGCAGCTATACAGGTGTGGACATCACAGACGGAGCACACAGGAATCATATTGACTACATCTGTGGCAAGAGGATATGGAGAAGCACACTATCTTCAGCCAAAACAAGGCTAGAAGCTGACTGTGGAACAGACCATCAACTGTTCATATGCAAGTTCAAATTGAAGTTGAAAACAATTAAAAACAAGTCCACAAGAGCCAAAATATAACCTTGATTATATCCCTCTTGAATTAGAGACCAGCTAAAGAATAGATTTGATGCATTGAGCACCAATGACCGAAAACCAGAGGAACTGGGGGATAACATTAAGAACATCATCCATGAAGAAAGCAAGAGGTCATTAAAAAGACAGGAAAGGAAGAAAAAGACCAAAGTGGATGTCAGAAGAGACTTTGAAACTTGGCCTTGAACAGAAAGTATCTAAAGCAAATGGAAGAAATGACAAGGTAAAAGCGCTGCACAGAAGATTTCAAAGAGCAGCTCGAGAAGACGAAGTCAGTTACACCAAAAGGAAAGAACACACTCGGCAATTCTCAAGCTTAAATAACTCAAGAGGAAAATTAAGCCTCAAGTTGCAATATTGAAAGATTCTATGGGCAATGTGTGTGTGTGTGTGTGTGTGTGTATATATATATATATGTGTGTGTGTGTGTGTGTGTGTGTGTTTT